AGATACCATGTACTACAACGAGTTGTTCAGCGACTGCAATGAAATCGACAATAAGACCTCTTTACGATGGCTAACAGTTGAACCTGGTGAAATTGAGCTGTTGGTCCCGTTCTCATCAATGCTGTAACTCACCAGCGCTGTTCTAACGGATGTCAAGGGAAAGCTTAGCGAACGATCACAATGGGCTATAACACTACCATACCTCGGCATATTATCCAACGCTACCAAGTCTCCAAACCGGGTTATCAGATCCTGGTATGCCCATGCAATGAATGTCACAATGTGGGTTGTAGCCAATACGCTATCGGTCGGTCAGAACAAAAATCAACATACATATCAATATGACCGACGCTAGCGACAGAACCATAACCTTGACTCCGGATGAGTCCCCAGACCACAAGTTACCACGGAAATATTGAAAAACTACGAGCTTCGCAGCTAGCTTTTAGTCCGTGGAAGCGGAGAGTCTGAATTCGGTCATACCATACCGGCCCCGTAGCATCTACCAAAGATAAGTCAATAAGAGCCTCAAAATACAGTAGAGAAACAATGTTACATTAAGTCTACCGTGAAAGCGATGAACATACAGCCAAAGGTCGCATTGAAGCTCTCCGGCATGGCTATGACGAGGAGGAGGAAAGGGCGTGCAACATGTTGCGATGAAGGCCTAGGACTTTTAGGCAGAAATATTGAGATCTACAAATTCCAATTAGTCGCTATCCAATATTACAGGAGATATCCGGAGGGCGGCATGAGATTTCGGGTGCAATCATCATCGAAACTTGATCGTAGAAAAGCGCGGTTACGCAGAGTTACTACGCGTCTTCAGGTGTTGCTTTACTCCATCTTTACCTACTCTTCAACCAGTCGCCAATTCCTCTGTACATTTTTCATTTCAATGATACGCGACAGTGATAGTACATACTTCATGCAGAACCTATGTATACCTTACGTGGAGGGCGGGCATCATCTGTGTATTATGAAATTGGTTGCGAACCTGTCCGAAATCAAGCGGAGTTCCAACTCGGCCAGCTCGGAGCAATATCCGGGTTTCTGCTTTCCCTACCCGACTCATCTCGCGGAGACTAGAACTCCGACTTTATCGCGTGCAGCGTTCCCCTGATATGTGATGGAATGACCTATGGGAGTGTCTAGGGAAGACTGGTTCCTTCCGGAGGCCTATTTTGACCTGATTAGAAAAATTTCTCCTTCCATCTTCCAATGCAACGCAAAGGAGCATCCGAGCAAAAGATTTAGCCATGGCAATCTTATCGGACGAATTAAAATACCAACAATCGCTGATCGGAATCCCTATGTAGTTCCTGGCGTCTGTACTTGGCTACATGTATTTCAGTCGATGGCCATGGTCTATCACTAGCTTTGCATCCCCCTCTTCTGATCTCCATGTCGTATACAACCGGTGTTGGTCCTGTGGACGCCAATGGCACAGTGCTCTTCTTCACCGATAGCGGGCCAGTCGTTGGATCTACTGACTACACCACTGTTGTCATCTTCCACGGAAGTGCCTTCACAGGCCGTAAGTTTCCCTTCCGATGCTCAATGTTGCGTATATCTCATTTCTTCGCTTAATCAGATACCTTCCACAAGCTCCTCCCGATGGCAGCGGAAAACAACCTGCGTCTCGTCATCCTGAATAGGCGTGACTATGCTGGTTCAACGAAGTATGCTGACGAGGAACTCGCGGAGCTAAGAGAGGGGAAGACAGAATTTTTACAGCGCCTTGGATCCGAATCGGCGTACTTCCTAGCTTGGTTTATCAAGACCAATGATATTCCCAAGATCAGCACCGACGACAAGTCTGGAGGATTGGCTACCATTGGATGGAGTCTAGGAACTACGACGTATGGTCGCCGCTTCTAAAGATTTTGCCGCCATGTTGATACTGGCACCCTTTTTCAGTCCCCTCGCCATTCTTTCCCACCCGGAAGTTATACCCCAAGAAACCTACGACTCGTTGGAGCCATACTTCCGACAGATGATTTTCTACGGTTAGCTCTTCCTTTCGATCTGGACATTCAGTTTTGCTCACTTTAGTCAGACCCGCCTCATCTCGCTTTCGGATATGATCAACCACCGGAAGGATATAACCCATTCACTGATCCTGAGCTCAAGACAGCTGAGGAAATCTTTGCTAACTTCGGTTACTGGGTCAGCACGTACTATGACCATCCGGATCTTGCGTCGCGTTCCCCAAGCGGACTTGACTTCAGCAAGCGTGGTACACGTCCGTCAATTGAAAATATGACGCCGGATGACATGAAAGTTACCTTTGACGGCGAGGCCGCCGGAAGGATGGAATTCCCCATGTGCGTCTTCTTCGTCTTCCCGACCATTGACTGATTAGTATCTGCGAAATAAGGTATTTCCCTCCCATGCAACCTACCATCAGGCAGCAGACCGAGACAGCACTATACGACGAAGAGGCGGTCAAGAAGATTCTGCCAAAGCTGGAAATTGTACATCAGTTCTGTACTGCGACTAACTGGTACTGTGTGTGGGGATTTTTTGGGAACGAACGCTTCGCTCCCAAGCGACCCATCCGCTTTATCGAGATCCCAGGAGCGAACCATTTCGTATGTCGGCCTTGTTCATCATTCGTGTCTGGATTAGTTTACATTCACGTCTTCAGGTACACTGGGATGATCCCAAAGCGTATATGGAGGCGACGGTGAAAGGCCTTACGACATGATAGTCATTATGGTCCCTCAGTAAACAACGTTTATATAGATATTGATACCCTCAGCTCTCGTCAGTGCCGAATTGGATAGTGTACTATTCCGTGAAGTCCTTCAAATGTCATGTATAAGTGTCAGCTCATTTGAAACGTTCGGCCCATGGGGAACAGATATAAAAACAAGCTGTCCCTCTCCCGCGCGCGCAGACGCGACATGCCGATCCCAATCGGGCTTTCCTTTATACATCGATGCCGAACACACGCTGAACGTCCTAGGCACTACAAGATAGTTGACCACGATTACAACTGGGAGGTTATCGGCCGGATGTATTCGTCTATACTCTTTCTGCAGAGTTTTGATATGCTGAGGGTTCCTCTTCATATCGCACTTCACAAGATACGAAAGGAATGCACCATCTCGTGGATTCATAAGCGGCGGATACCCCTCTATTGAGCAAAACAACATGAGAGCTGTGTTTATCTTGGAAAACTGAATCCTACTTTTCCGATTCTTGGTCATGCGAGAACAAACCTCTCGATGTCCGTCCCACGCCTCCTTCTGGCATTTTCTAGAGCAGTAGTATGCATGGCAGCATCCTACGCACTTCTTGAGCGGAGAGCCCAGCTTAGCCTCAGGAGTTACTTGCGGAGGCAAGGGACACTGCAAATCGATTTTAGACAGACTAACTCAAGCATGTAATGAAAGAAACGCACCTCCGCATTCATGCACTCCGCCCTGTCCCTCCAAAGATATTTCTTTCTCATTTCCATACGAGTGCCTACCGCCTTTTTCAATCTTGCCCACGCTTCCCAGGGCTTTGGCGCATCCTTTTCAATTCCATCTTCTAGCGAATGTCGGTGCCACTCCACCTCGCGTATAGCCTTAGTGGCTTGTCGTAGAACGGACCGAATAACAGAATGGGAATTCACGTCATTCAAAAGATGCACCAGTACATCATTGAGTGTGTTACCTGTCGTGCGATCAGGCGTATGCCCACCTCCCGCAAGCATGAAGTATGGTTGACATTTCATGATGGATAAGAGCAGATGGGCCTGAAGAGCCTCTCCTACCCATGCGAAATGATCCTTGAACGCTCTAGAGAGATAGGACGCGCAAAGCGAGATGATGCCTTTTGACGTCTCAAAGTCATCCAACGTCATTGATAGCACGAGTTTTCGGGAGGATAGTCGCCGTAAGAGCTGACAAGTCCACCTAACACTATCGGCAGCAAGGAAGGCCCGCTGGACAGGTGGGGAGTTGGCGGAAAAATTGAACATGGTCATCATACAGCGTTTGAGCACGTAATAATCTGGCTCTCGGGAATGTATTTGGAGGATGAGTCGGCCGAGGCAGGGAAAGGCCACGCTGATGGATGTCGTACGGAGAACTTGGGTGAAATCATCAAGCCAGAATTCGTTGGTATCGAAGGTCATATTCTGGATGGCGCGTCCCGTCGCTTGTGCCGCGCTCATATCGTTTGCAGACGCGAGGATCCAAACCTCCGTAATGACGCGCATGAAATTTGGAAAACGTCCCAATATTTGAACAAATGAGGGTATCTCAGAGAGATCTGCAACGAGTCTAATCGTGTTGAACGTGAGCTCATCCTCACCCGAGTCCAACTTGGGTAGCGCATCCGGTTTGTCGAGAAGGTAGAATTTCATGAAGTACATGAACCACGAAAGGACATTTGGTAGGACCTCAGAGATCTGAGGAATGAGATCAGGCCTCAGCGGAGTTTTGTTTTTGATCTGGAACCCGAGCGCGATGGCTTTGAGGCAAGATCTGGCGACGATGATCGATTGATGAGGCTGATCCGGATCGAGCCACGAGCTAGGAATACTGGTATTGCGAAGACGATATCGAAAAACCGGGAGAAATTGAGGAAAGGTGTCTTCGTCGTCCTCAACAATGGACACAAGACGTTCTAAAGCTGGTAACGAGCCATCCCTGGCTAGTTTCTAACAAAGAGCTTCGCGTATGAGAACCTGACAAAGAAAACTGCAAGAATACCAGCCTTGATGGTGGTGTACGCCATCCCAATGTCTAGGGCTCGTAGTTTAGTATAGCCTAAGTCAGGTGCGAGGGATGTTCAATGTAGGAAAAAAGGATATCATCACGTAATTACGTTCGAACCCTCGAAACGAAAGCGTTAGCGTAAAATGTAGATGATGGTGAACTTTCTGAATAGAACCGCCACTATCTGGTTTCAAATCACTTTCGCTGACGTCGAGTTTGTGTCGGGGAAATGCTGGACAGTTGTCAGAGTCAGATCGGCAGAGCCTTGGGGCCATTGGTCACACCGGGCACTTGGCACAGTGGTAGCGCGCACGCTTCGCATGCGTGAGGTCGTGGGTTCAAATCCCACAGTGTCCATGATGGAGGTACACACAATTGCATATGAGTTTTTATGTTGCAGATGAGTGATGCATACGGCCGCACAACTGGTGGGATGTAAGATATGGTTTTGTACCGACCTCCGCAGGGGTATTGTGACTAGTGTTGCTGTGACTTGGCTTATCTTGACTTAATGCCAAAGTCGACTTTTGAGCCGTCAAGGATAGCAGGACAGAAGGAGCAGCTACACTGTTGCTAACACTACCAATAATTCTTGTGAGTTAATGCGTACTTCAGATTATCTTCCATTTTGGATAATTGTGGAGTCACAGCACACCAAGCGCAAACGGCCCAAAACCAACTTCGGTGTTAAGCTGAGATAAGCTGAGTCATGGCAACACTAATCGTGATGCAGTAATCTACCTTCACTTACCTCACATGTGTCATCACAAGCCTATAACTGGATTTACTGGACTTTAGCAGGTGTACATCCGTGCACACCGATGTACCCCGATGTACACCGGTGTAAACAGATGTACACCCGTGTGGACCTGTGTACAGCTGTGTACACGAATGTAATGTCGTGCAAACCTGGGGGCGCCACATGGAGAGGTCCAGCCCTAGCCATTACGTGATTGTGTAGAGCCGTGTCAAACACGTCAACTCTACATGCATCCACATTGTACTCTACACTCGTCCACACTTGTCCACACCGTACTCCACACTCGCCACCCCCGATGAACCACATGCAACCACACGCAACAGTCACACCCCTGTCAATGGCCGTTCAGCATATTCTGCCTCGGCATCAATCAGGCAAGCATTGGCATGAAATGAAGGAAAAGGTGTGCTGAGCCGTTTCAGCCGTCAAGTAGGCCTCTAACAAAGCACCATCGGCATCAGAGACGGAAACGGGATCTATACTCACTCTTCGTCAGCACACCAAAGGGACTGGTTTGGGGCATATGTGCGTGCCCACTCCACTCCACAGGTTTGCCAATAACTCATCCCATGCCCTCTAGGCATCAACAATGGAGCTCAAAGTATGGCTGCAAAGCACCGTCAAGTCAGCAACCTATGACAAACATTCGCATCTCTGGACCATCAACCATCGCTCGCGCGGGTCACCCAGACCGTGTCGTCAAGCCTCAATTCATCATCGTCGCCACTGGACACAGTGGTGAGCCCAATATCCCAGTTTTCAAGGACCAGGACGCCTTCAAGGGCCAGCTCTGATTCCCTCCCTATGGTGTGTACAGGGGCGCATCACTCCGACAGCTTGGCTGTTGTTGTCGGGTGCTGCCACAGTGGTCACGAGTTTCATCTCTGGCTCCATTGGAAGATTTGCTGGAACTGCATTAAACATCCCATATGTTTTCCTTCACCCAACATGCTCACTACTCATGGCTCCCACAGATTCGACGTATGACATGTCTCCTGATCAATTTCATTCGGCTTATTAAGATTACATTCATTCGCCGTCTTCCCTTCCCCTCTGCCCATTCCCAGTCTCTGTGCCTCCAGTCCCGCGTCGAATTCACTTACACTAACTACTGCGTAATCTACTCTGTACTAGGTACTAGTGAATACATGTGTTTTTAACTATTCATGGAAATCAGTTGGTGTGCCATTCATGTGACCACAGCTATTACATACCTCAACGTTTGCTCATACAGCGCCATAACTCATCTGAGATCTTCGAGGAAAGTAAGCTGGGTTGTTTGCTTCGAGCGCCATTTGCTTGGACAGTGCAGCCAACAATCTAACCCTTTTGTCAATGTCCTGTTATTCTGCATGTATACAAACCCTTACCTTGTAATGAATATGTTGCTATCTACGTAGCTAGCATGAGTAGTTACTGTCTCGTCAAATTTAGAAGAAGGGAACGTACGTAATACATAAAGACACTACTGTACCTGAGGAACCACAAGTAAGCTAAACGACGTACTTGAATGAAAAACATTGAAAAATCCTTACAAAGGTCAGGCCACTACTGGTGCTGCATCTCAATACTCTTGTTAGTATCCTACCACCTAGCGTTGCTGAATCTATGTGACCATCAGTCTCACGCTGACCAGAACAATGATGAACTTACCGATACAAGCTCCCACCCAGGACGTTCGAAGATGGAGAATCAGTGCTCTCGTGTACGAGCACCAATCACATCTACCAAGAGCGTCGTGGCAGCGCTACAAACCGCCGTTTCGAGGTGTGCTCAGTCAAAGTTGGATGCAGCGTTTGCTCTCGCTCCCACCGACAACAGGTGCTGGTTTGGATACGAGTATGAGCGCTTTTACCAAGGCCAGTCGGAGGACAGACGAGCGAGGACGAAGGGAAAGCCTAGGGTAAACGGAGGTACCATGTCAGCCAACAGAAAGGAGAGATAAAATGCAGACACGCACCTGCACCCGATGTCCTCTGCGCTTTGTATGAACAAAGCCTCGTCGTTCGACAGGGGTACTAAACCTAGAAAAACCGAGTCTTAGACGTTTGCTAACCAAAGTTGAGTTTACTTACCTTGCATTAGTACACTGACATTGAGCATCATGGGGGAACGCCGCCCATGCTATAGTTCATAACGTCAGAGACATGAAATGCAGCAGTAAAAACACAAACGCACGATATAGCCCTGTTCCATGGGGGGTACTATCCAACAAAACCTCAGTCCACTGACCTTTCATTTCGGCAACGTTGAGCTTCCGTTGCGGCGCATCAAGTAGCACTACAATCCCACCGTCTCGCAGTAGTTAACCCTGGCATGGGCCCGTTCAAAATCGGCGGCAGATGTTGCCCTCGCTCCCCCTGATTGTCAGGTGCACCAGCTTGGACACGAGTAGGGACGTTTATGAAGACTCGTTGGAGGGCGAAGCAGCGACAACACCAGGGAAGTAGCAGGTGTAGGGGTCGTTGCGCGCTGCATTTGAAAGAACATAAAAGCTTAGACATGCACTCCTGTATCCTACAGCCTTGTGTGAACCAAGTCTTGTCGTTCGATGGGGGGTACTAGAAGAGGATCAAACTCCACCCAGTCGACCGTTTGCCCTCGGGACACAGCAATACAGTCGCCAGACCTTACTTACAACTACATGGCACAGAACGGAGACAGTTCATCGTTGAGGGAAATCGCAACTACAATTGCGACTTCAACCAACCCCGGAACTGCTGCCAATACGGTAGCACTGGCTGTCGTTCTGTGGTATGTGCTACCAGACATGTTCTCGCTGCCATCGAACTCGGTTATGACCCGCTTGGAGAAGACCGTCAAGGAGGTGGTCGATATATACAACCAGGACAAGAGCATGTTGGCAGACACAAGTTTCGAGCACGAATTGAATAAGTAAGATGTTTTCTGCCTATGCACTTCATTGCCTATGTGAAACTAACTAATCATGTAAGACTTGAGCTCGCTGTGCTTGAATTAAAAGAAAAGCAGATACAGGGAGCAAATGTCGCCTGGAAGAACCTTCTTTCGCGTGTGTCGCATGAAAAATATATGTGGATGACGGCACGGATGTACCGTCAAGACGTCGAGGCAGTCAAATCAAGGCTTGAGGTAAGTGTATTTTCATCATAGTCAAGCGAGGTTTGACGGCTAGGGTGCGGACAGTTGGCAATTATCAGTGCGAAGAAGGGCCCTCTTCAAGCGGCTCTTGGGGTCCGTGATCGGAGGGAGGATCATGCATGAAGGTTGGGTGTAGACGTCTTTCGTTATTTCCATTGCTGACGAAGTCAGGTCCTTGAGATATGAACCTTCAACGTAGAATTCCATTTTTGTCGATTTATGCCGCAAACACCAATGTAAACGCTGTTCTCTTGATCGATCAATAATACCATGGTGGTCATTACTTACGAGCACCTGCTAGCCTGGACATACTGCTGAACGTTCATCAATGCGCCTGGTCAAGTGAACCAAGAGACCCACGTTTGATTGATAATTTGTAGCCGTAGGTAGGCCAGGAAAGTTGTTATCCACAAGAGCTGCCTGAGTATAAACTCAGGTTAGGTCCGAGCCAAACACTATAAAGCTCGTTAGAACGTGTAAATCGGAAGTACCGAACCGACCTCAAGATAATTAACCATATTCACCCTGGCTTATCAGACCCACATGGAACATCCAAGATCCCCATCCGTCGAGGCCCAGATCATCGCGTCCCAGTTCGGGGGGCACCTGTAATCTTGGGAGAAAGAGTCCTTCCTTGCTTCCTCTATCCCTCATTCCCTTCTCATACTCATGCCCGTCGATCCCTCAGTGATCGTCGAGCGACTCCGCTCCACCTATGGCCGACTGACTCAATCAGTCAATCAAGTTCTTCAAGCTGGACGTGGAGACCCCCACCGCATTCATTTGCAGTCCAATGATGTTGCTCACTTTGAAAACACATATCGCTTTGTAAGGTCATCTCCTCATTGTTGTAGTGGCTTGACGCGCGGCACATAGCATCGAGGACTCCTTGACCACCTCTCCGCTGTCAATGTCGATAAATCTCTCCAAAACATGAAACATTTCCTCCATGAGGTGACATTGGTATCCTTTGACCCGCCTTCCCGACCTCCCACCCTGAATCTGTTACAATTTTCCCCACTTATTCATTTTCTTTCTTAATTATCAGAAGACCAAGTCATCCCCGACCCCATGTGACCATATAAAACCATAACCGGACGGCTTAAGCCAAGTAGCAAGTAACTACAGCTCGTGGATACAGCACGACAACTGTATTGTCTTCGTATGTTGTGACTATTATTAGTACTACAGCTTTCGTATATAAGTAGGTAGCTCTTCGCTGTAATACCCCAGCTTCGAGCTAAAGTTTATTAATACCGAACTTCTCTCTTAACTCGCTCGACTAAGAACTTAGTCCGACTCCTTCACTTATATCCGAACTCCACGAGACTCTCGGGTGACTGTCTGAACACGAGACAGCCCGAGTTTACTCTTGTTTGGATCACGTGAGGTTCGGGTCTAACAATTAGCTCGAAGCTTCCCTTCTTTCCTCGCGCACGACGCAAGCAAAGACCCATGCAAGTGACCAGAGACCTGA